GGCGCCCGCCACAACACCCGGCTATTTTTTGGTTGCAGCCGTCATTATTGTTTGGCGGGTCCGGGCTGGGGATTCGAACCCGCCACTTTAGGTGTACGTGGCTGGCGCCTTAGCCGGTTGAGCTATAGGCGCCGAGCCTATAATACATACTTTAAACTTACAACGGGTTTACTGGAATGTAACCCCATCATAAGTCAAGGATCATCTGTACGTACTTGTGAATCTTCCCAGAGTTAAAGGATATATATCCACCAAAGAATATAATTACCATTGTAGCTAGCTGAAGTTCTTTATGACCCAGGGATTTTTGCTGAGGAGGCTAGCAAGATTTGTTTTGGTGACCCTGATGGCACTCTAACTCTAGAAAAATGATCATCTCTCTTAAAAGAGATGGTCTTCTTGACCACATCCTTAATTCAAGTTATATTTGATACCTAATCTTTAGTCTGCTCTTAGATACACATATTTTTTTCCTTCTATTCCGAAGACCTTCAAACTTAATGGTTCCTACAATATGTAATTGCCTTTTCCAACCCCTTCTTAAAGATCATTGAACTTGATGGAAATCTTAAATTCTATCATATTCTTAGAACCATTATAGATATTTAACTCTTACAGATATTTAAAATGTTCCCATTTGAATTTTGGATGTCTCGTGTAAATGAGTCTAACTTGCTGTTTCAGCTTATAAAGTCATGCTAATGAAAGAAGAAAATCTAAAATGTATGACCTGTTTCCATGACTTGATCACATATTCTGAAAATAATTTAAACCTTTTTTTCTTTTTTTTGAGACAGAGTATTATTATGTCGCCCTCGGTAGAGTGCTGTGGCATTACAGCTGACAGCAACCTCAAACTCTTGGGCTTAAGCGATTCTCTTGCCTCAGCCTCCTGAGTAGCTGGGTCTGCAGGTGCCTGCCACAACATCTGGCTACTTTTTGTTGCAGTTGTCATTGTTTAACAGGCTCAGGCCGGTTCCAACCCATCTGGCACTGTAACCACTGTGCTTCAGCGCAGAGCCACTTAAACCTTTCTTGACTCAAATTGCTATTATGAGTGCAAGTTATGTAAAAGTTCTGTAGATTTAAATATGATCAAGTTGTAACTGACCCTAATGTATAGGACAATTCCTATTTCCTTGAGAAAGTTCTTGCTTCAAATAAAATCTTTCCTGCCATTGTCTTAGTCAAGTTCCTCACCATTTCTTGTTTTAATGATTATATTAAACCTTTAAATCATTCTTCCTTGTTCCTACCTCTCCCACCCTTTACCCTCCACCATATTGTCTTAGGTTTTTATTTGGGCATGCATATCAGGTCATCATAGCGATAATATTTATTGAGCACTAGTTGCATGCCAGACATTGTGTAGTTAGACATTCTGCATACATTATGGTGAGCAGGAATGTGTAAGACTTAGACATACTGGCTTTTGAGTCAGTCTGCCTGAATTCCAATCTCTGTTCACTTGCTCATTCTGCAATCTTTGAGATTTTCTATTAATTTTTCTGGGCCTCAGTTTCTATATTCAATGGGGATCCCAGCAGTACTTACCTTGTAAGGACAAGATGATAAATGTAAAATGCTTAGTACTGTGCTTAGTAAACACCCAAATATTAGCT